CCGAGTTAGTGGAAATTTTCGCCAAGATGCAGCACTGAAAAACGAAGCCAGCCTGATTTTCAGATGCGATCATGTGAACATCATCAAGGTATAGATGTTTCTTGTTCGGAATATCAGCAAAGCATTAATGGAAAACCGGGCGATGTACAGTATGATAAATGCCTGAGGAATCTCATTAGAACGATTCTTTTATTAAAACCTCTACTATATTATTTATATTGTTTTGGATACTGTACTTTAGGACATCAGATTGTATTTCAGAGAAGAAAATTGTAATGCATCCCTGTGCTGATGCTTTAAATTTTGGCCGGTTTCATCTGCATGTGCGGCAGAAATGTTGTTCTTTTTCTGCTTGCTTATAAAGCACTAAAATGCTTAACTCAAAACACAAAGGCAAGGCTTGAAACATGAAACCCCACTTACAAAGGAGAACAATGGACCAAATTTCTGCGGCACTACAGTATACGTAATTTCAAAATCTTGCATTGCTTGATGACAGAGGTGAGGAAGCTAGGTTGCTCCACTACACTGATGTTTATACTCATTACTCACACATGAGTATAATGAGTAAACAGATATCTTATACTGTAGCAAAAAGAACCTGCTCAAGGCTACAGATGAATTAGAATTTGCTCTGATAAAACTCTATTCAAAATTTCACCAATTTCTCTAGTAAGCATGAAAAAAGTTGATTAATCACCCGCTGTATCCAAGTTCTGACATAATACCAAGAAGGCACACTATTTCAAGGCACAGCGTTTATTAAGCTTCCGATATTATTTCGATTACTGTATGCAGTACCAGCCAGACCCATATACCCAATCCAAATTCGTTTCAATACGGAGTATTTCCATGAAAATTAACAATGGTATTCAACAAACTGACATGAATACAAAATCTTGACGCAATAAATCTCCACATGTTTGGCAGGAACGAGCCCCAGTTTTTTAAAACCTAAAACTACAAGCCTGCAGGAAAATCCATTTACATAAAACTGTCTCGAATTCCATTAACACGCAATTAAAATTTCAGGAATAACAGCTACAGTAATGATGAAAACTGCATACTCTTAAGGCTACTTTTAATCCTTTACAGTAAGTTAAAAACAAATTTTCAAACAGATGCACGGCCTGATCAATTTCCAAGACGGCAGATTGGGAATTGTCATGGAGTTAGCAGACAAAGGACCCCTGTCTCGTAAGCTTATGCGGGAGCTGTCAAAAGGCGACGGCGCTGCAGCTCGTCGATTTTCCAAAGGAATCATCAACGGACTTCAATACTTGCATCACCGTCGCATCGTCCACCGTGATTTGAAGCCCGACAACATCTTGTGTTTTGGCGAGCTTCCTTCGCCCAAAATAACAGACTTCGGAATATCTAAAGTAAAGAAGATTCAAAATTCAGATGGGGATGATCGAAAAGTTGCAGTGCAATGACATATTTTCTAATTTTAACAATGTTCAATCCGTGAGATACGCATACACTACTTGTGCATTACAGTACAGTTATTTTTCTTTGGGTAGATCTCACTGACTGCCACGACGGTACTTGACAAGAGTACTGCAATCCCAAAGTTTCTTCACATCTGTCCATCCCTTGCTCTTGGATGGATTGAGATGGACATGATTTTTTCAGGATCAACATTTCATATTTCCTGATCACCGTTCTAATTTTTGCCCACCCAAGTTCAAATTGAGAAACAACAGAGTACATTTTACCCAATTCCGAAGAACAGCATCGAGTTCTCCGTCACAATGCAATTTTATGACTTATTTTTGTCTGAAAGCTCACGAATATTTTGAATCATTAAAATATCTTCTTGATGACATTTACACAAATGTGAAACATGTTCTGATGAGAAAAATCCCAACATTTTAGTAAAGCTTTTTAGTGACAAATTGATCTGAACAGGAATCCTCATTGATGAGCAACAAGTTTCAAAGTCAAGGGTGTTATTGCTGAAGACCCTCAGAATATCAACGGCGGCTTTCTTCTCGTCTTTATAAGCACGACATATATTTGAGAACTTGAAACCCTGAGGACCAATCACTTGAAAAAAGGTTCATTGCAAGATATTGACAAAACATTTCAGCCAGCCTTTATATAACTGCACACGAATTCATCCAAATTCGTATCTGATTCTGGGTCCAGATATCTGTGATTAGAATATCATGCAGTTGAAATTTTTTGAATATACCGAGGAAAAATGTCTTTCCTATTTTATGCTTCATGCCTTTTATAAATATTGTATTGTTTCTTCGACTTACATAATTACCTCATGATTCTCAACTGAAGAAAAAAACATTTCTACCTTGAAATAAACAAAGATACAGTTTTGAATTTCCTCTGCAAAGGAATTTTTCGGACATCCCACAAGTTACCTTAGAAGAACAAGGTACATTCTGACTTTTATTTCTTTCCTCAGGGTATAAACGCTACTATGCAACTAATGGAAACAGTCATCGGAACGCCGAGATACATGGCGCCCGAAATTCTTCTGTCGGAGAGACCAAAATACACAAAAGCTGTGGATATCTACAGCCTTTCTCTAATCCTGTTTGAACTGTTCACGGGAGGCATGGATGCTTTTAAAGAATTTAGAAGCCTCGCTGAATTGCTCCGACTCAAGTCACAACCACACGTGCGATTTCCGGAAAACTTCGAAGAAGGTCTTGAAAAAATTTTGGACCGTGGATGCTCACCGACACCGACGAACAGACCAACGCTGACAGAGATACTTCTGGCAGTAATTGCTCCTGCACAAAAGCTGGAAATTCCGTCAGTCAAAAAAAGCGAGAAGAAAACTATTGGTTTGAGGCAATCTTTCATTCGTCACCCCAAACACGAAGAAGATAAAAAGCTTCGAGCGCAAAATCCTCAACAGAGCTCCAACCACCAGCGGCAGCAACAACCGGGACCAGCACCTCTTCCTAAAGTAGAACCTGAGAAAGTGCCACTGAATCCTCGACCACGATTAATGATTGATCGGAAACGACTGGAACCTCTCGGTCCTCGACCACTGCTACAAAAGCCGTTGGGTAAATCAGTTGACAACAAAAAAGTTTTGCAACCTCCAGCCTCACAACGTGCGCGAAAACCCTGACATTATTAGATTAAAAAGCATGTACGCATCTATATTGTCTTTATCGATGATAAAATAGCGACTATCTTCTGCACTGCCAATGGTATGCACGCGTCGTGAATCTTTGCAAAAATTTATATTTACCATCAGCTTTGCCCATTTTTCGGCAGATAATGCGGAGAATAAACTCATAGACCCGATTCGCATCTGAATTTTCCTTCGACTTCGATCAAAACAAAAGAAAAAAAAAAGAAACATTTCGCAGCCTGAAGCCAACAGAAAGACGCCGCATTTAATCAATTCGTCACAACAGAATTGCTGTGATCCGGACTCTTGAAACGCTTCGAAACTGAAAGGAATTTTTTTTTTCATCAAGACACAAATTCGCCGAAATCGTGCGTAAACAAATTTACCCGCGACGACAGCCACATCTTCATGTTCAACAATGATTTTTGAAGAATGTCCCCAGCGGTGCGCAGCAGAATCGCAGGCTGCACAGATAAGGTCCTCACAATATTTCTCCAGGTACATAACGGCCATATCCATGGCATCATCGCTCAAAACTACATTTTCTCCGAACTCTTCCACCATCTCCTTCAGCAGAGTTTTCGAAATCTTCTGTAAGTTACTCAAAAAAATAACAGGCAAAATAGCATGCATTCACATAATCATTCCACGAATATAGAGGATGTACTGCTCGAAAAGTTACTATGCAGTGAAAAATTGTGATTTTCGAGTGAACAAATCTAGGATACTGAATTATATTACACAGGGGATCGAAATTGAATTATTCTAAGCGATTTAAAAGATGGCTGAATCTGAAAAAATAACCAACAAAAATAACAAGCAGAACCCAATCAAGCTTGGCATACAAAATGTGTATGCTACTGAAGCATTTTAAATTAGCCCAAAGGAGGAACACAAAAGCAGAGAGACTCAAGTTTTCATCAACTGTCTTCTCAATCTAACAAATCAAAATAAAGTTGAGTGTCTTTAACAGCTACGGTACTCCAACCGAAGCAAATTGATAGTTTCTTGAAGTAAAATTTTTTCGCGGATGCTCAGGAATTTCTAGCGAAGATTTTTGTAATGGACAAAATTCAACACGTCGCTCTTCGGACACACCGTATTCAGACATTGAATGAGTTGAAATCGTCTGAAAAAACGTTCCTCACCAAAGAAGTAGGTGGGAAATCGACATCTCCGCAATGACCAGGGGGGTTTTCTTCACCCAGTGAAATCTTCAGCTCTAATTCCGACTTGGACGTGGATACACTTGACGACGCGTGGTCGTCAGCCATTGACAGTTCCAAGTAATTCTGCACTCGATAAATCAGGTTAAGTGCTTCAACTAGTTAAATAAACGGCGCTGTTTGACTCAAAAGCATTCGTTCTATTCGAGACTTCTCAGCAAAAAAAAAAAAATCTTCCCTCACACGAAAATTCTTCACTATTGATTGGTAATACTGTAGCCCATGTGACGTACGGTGATTGCATCCGGCACGTAAGTTATCAGCTAGATTTAAGGAATACAGATAATGAAAAAAACAGTTTCACTAAAATCTCCATCAGTTCCGAAATTTTAGCTTCATCGTGATGAATTTCGTAATCTGCGGTTTAAAAATCTTCGCTAGCATTCATCGAATTGTTCGAGACGGTACAGACAACTCGAACAAAGCAGTGGACATCACAGATGTAAAAAAAAAACTATTATCGACAAGCCTCGTTGATTCCATTTGCTATTCTACTGGGGAAACAAGTGAACCAATCTAGATTTTTAAAAATTTATTCTTATTTCACGACAGTTCGACAAAAACTTGCGGGACACAGAGCACACAGTTGGTCATTCAGGGTATCACGGAGAGCCCCGTGTTCTTAGAAAACGGTCCAATACATCATTCTACTCTGACATCACTTTTACTAGGAGTCTTGAGAATTCAAAGAGACGCAAGGCACCATAAGAAAGAAACGCCAATGCCGATCAACACCTGCACGGCGCCGCATATTAAAGCCCACAAGGGTGTGACCCGCAGATCCGCTGTCCGACACACGAATGCAATCACAGAGCTGTTCACAATCCCGAAAGTGATCGGCGTCAGGATCCCGCAGACGATGATGACCACTCCGAAAAAACGCATCAGCGGGTGTCGACGCAGGGTCACGCATGCAGCTACTCCTGCACCCGTGTACACGATGAAGTTGAGGAAAAGGTTCCATAAAAAAACTTGGTACCATATCCCGGCGAATGTGTCTAATGGGTCTGTGGAACTGAGTCCGAGAACGCTGCCCACTGACTCCAGTTTGGAGCCACTCAACTCTTTGTTGATCATCACGGCGGCGCCTCACCCATGATCGCGACGCGAAAACATCTTTCATCAAAACGTCGCGTCGGAATCTAACCAGCTTCAATTCGACCAACTTTCTTCCATTTCAATGTCTAGGGAAAATCATAGAAGACACGATGAAAGAAGCAAGCTCGACAAAGGTAATCCTTCAACTGTACCAGGAAAAAGGCATCGAAAAGCAAGCGGGGAAACAAGTCCAGCAGATGTACGCAAACAAATTTTTCGATCATTAATACGTAAAATGTTCGTCTCTTTTGAACTGTTTCTACAGTTGCCAAAAGCATTGCAAACTTGTTGAAATCGAAAAATTTTTACACATCGGATATGTCTGGCGTTAAAAAAGAATAAGAAATATTCAAGCGACAACAAGGTGCAAAAAGCAAACTCATGAAACAAGAAGCGTTTCGGAAGCTGAAAAAAGGTCGGCATTGTGCTATTAAAGTCTGCAATACCCGTGAGAACCAACGACACGTTTCGAAAGAGACAAAATTTTATCGAGTCAAAAATTAACACGCGTGCTTTTTGAATTTCGTTTATTGCTTGGGAACTTTTCCCCTTGCTTTATATGATCTCTTTTCTCCTGACACACTCCTACTACATTGACTTTACGTTTGTTCAATATAATTTATCTGTCACATTTCAGCGAACCACCACACCGGAAATCAATGCCACTCAAAACGCTAGAAAGCTCAAAACGACATACGAGCCGAAAAGGAGGCGACAGCGACATCACGTAAAAGGAAGAACTTGCGTTTGAATCAAGGAATGTCCAGGATGCCACCGAATATTCGCAAAAATAGGTCCATTAATGTCATCTAATGCATCTTCCTGACAAATGAGTCATTTCTCATGTCTAGCTTATAAATTCTTTTGAACAGACACAAGCCTACCACGATCTCCAGAGAAAAAGAGGATTCTGAGCAAAATTGTACCTTCACGTTACCGAGGAAGCCCCCCCAGCAATATATCTTACTCAGAAGTAGCGATGTATAAAAGCCACAAAAATAGTTCGGAAGGTTTTGGTACGCACGAGTGAACCTACACACGTGTTTTCAAAATAACTGGCCTTAGATTTGCTTCATGCCTCATTGGATGCGCATCACACTTCGAGAAACTTCTTCGGAATCGGAGGAACTTCAGGTGCCTTGTCAGGAATTTCAAGAGCTCCGATGTCGAGTAACCTCAATTTAACTTCCATAGATATTAAAATCTCTAGGTCACTGTGGAATTCGCGTGAGTCCATGGATTGGTCTTCTGTAAATGGTGAAAATGTAATCATCTTCATTAGCAAGGAAAAATATATTTCTTACTGAAACTAAGAACAGTGATCCCGTCCCACCAGTAGGAAAAAATTTTCTCGTCATTCGTTATGAAATCCAACGACATTTGTTCTCCAGTCTCCGATACATAAACAAGGGAAAAGTAATGCCCAGGCACTTTCCTGCAATGGGGAGAGATGTCTTACGATCATTTAAAAATAAAATGTCCACATGAAAAACGTACCCTTTGTTAAAATGCGGACATTTTTCGCGCAATACCAGCTCCTTTATCTGGTCAAGCTCAATTTTTGACTGAAGGTAGTCAATCGATGGGATAACTTCATCCTTTTCTTCTTTGCAATCTCCGTAATGGAAAGATTTTCGATTGGGGGCCAAACGACAAAACCAAGATTTGACGCTATCCTTTCCACGCTGGAAAAAATGAAGAGAATAATATTTGACGACTTTCACCGGAAACAAAAGCTTGCTATAAAATTGCACCTCCACGCACGAAGAATGCTCACCCTTGGCCCAGAAGTTTTGATAAAGCGAGATCCGTCTATTAAAAATAGCGTTCGTTGTTCTGCGATGAGACCGACAATTTCAAGCTTCAAAGCATCACGTAACTGCTGAATCGGTTCTGCACGGGACGCATGCTCTTCATGAATGCTGCGTTCTTGATCCCAGATGGCTTTTATTTGAGCGTAAGACAGGGTTTCCAGGGTTTCCGAAAATCGGGTGAAATTCATTGAGGCTGGAGTGTGTGACAGAGCTCTCACCAGTTGCTCCCGAACAACGTCCATGACCTTAGTGAATAATTAAAATATTTAAAAATTAAAGAAACTTCTCACACCCATATTACGCGCAAAAAAAAAAAGAGTCGTCGACAAAAGTAACGTGACCGTTTTGGCAGAGTAAAAATGTATAAGACATTTTCATCGATAGAACATTTTTGACGATCACGCTTTAAATTTCAAATGCAATATTTTCGTTCCTCTACAAATAACGCCCTACTTCCGTACTTTTCTCCACGAACAAATTGGGTTTCTGTGAATTTTGATTCAAATTGCAACGTTTAACTAAGATTCGGCTGAGTTAGAAGATATATGAAGCTAGCTTAGCTTAGTTTGCATTCAATTCGATTTTTTTTTAACCAAATCAGCGATATCTGAAATTTCAGACAATGACATCGGGTATTGAAGGAATAGAACCCGAATTTCTAGCCGCATAAAATTAACCCATGCCTAAATAAAGTCGTCAAGAAATGTGAATGTGATACCTTGTCCATGTCCTGGACAGTTGCCTTCATCTCTTTCCAAGTTCGCCCGAATAAATCCATTGTTCTAGAAAACATTTCTTCGAAAGGATGATCCGTGGAAAAGAACATAGGCTGGAAATTTCGATGCATGGCCAGACTCAAGCCAAGGTTCATTATCATGTTGCCCTCTGAGATCGGATTTGAATTGATCTCAAGGATATCGAACAACAGACCAACCAGCTTTATGCCAGTTTCTACCAGCGAGAATTTTGCTATGGAGAAAAAGAGCATGAAAGAAAATAAACTTAAATACTTCAGCTTCCTGCGCATACGCACCAGAATCCTTTGAAGAATTTTCTATGGCCATACGGGCAAACTGCCGTTCATGATGGTCAGCGTAATGTTTGAGACAATCTAAGTAAAGTCTTCCAGGAGGAGAACAAAAATCTCTCAGTGGCTCGTTCTCATCGCTGAACCCCAAAGAATATTGTTCTCTTCTTTTATCTCGGTCTCCGCTCCCACTTCCTTCAAAAACAAAAAAAAAAACTCAACTTGGCACAGCCTCCTACGAATGGTGAACAAGAAGGCATTACCCGCTTCGTCAAAAGCCACGCGACGTAGATGTTTGATTTTTTCCGCATCCTCACTGCTTCCCAAATCGCAAACTACCTTGGAACGAGATTCGTATAGGCTGAGAATAGACATCTGCAACTGGCACAAGTGATCTAGCATTTCCGACCACGGGAGACCCCCGGAATCATTGACAACTTCCAAAATGGCATTCTTCATGCTCATAAACACGTTTTTCCCGATCTCCTGTCGTGCTTCATCGGTATGTGCCTGCAAAATACCGCATCGGAACTCTTGAACATGCATACTCCGCCAGCAGTCTAGAGCTGTAAAATTCAAAACTTAAGCCAGATGAAAGCTTTCGATCATTTTCATTAAATACAGTACTTCACACAGACGGGCTTTCTTCCTTTTCTGTGCACACCATTAGGTTATGGGCACGCAAGCAATGAATCAGAATCACTTCCACTTTGAATTTTTCCTCCATTTTTTTTACATTTAGTTTTCTGATTTACTTCCAAGGCATGCCAAGCGGAGGAAAAATATAAAAATGATGCCGAACAGAACCAATGACACAGGAAAACCACTGTAAATTTGAATTTAGCGGACTTGTTTGCACTGTAAATAAATTTCTCTCACTTTGCTTAGCAAAGCGTTGACCAAAGCGACAACGCCTTGACGCACTTTCTTGCACTTCGAGTCCGCTAGGAAACTTGCTAACGTCGGATAAGCAATCCGTGATTTCACCAGTTCGCATTTATCCGGACAAGAGACGATGAGGTTCTCTAAAACTGTCAAAACTGGGAGAGAAACGGCACTTGGCGTGTGCTTCAGTCCCTTCTCCAAGAAACTAATCAACTTTTTAATTAATGCATCTGGTAACGAGTCCCATGATCGAGCTCCTTCCGTCATCATGTTCACGAAGGTCTGCAAGCACTGTTCCAGGTATTTATCTGCACCAATTTACAAAAAAGACACCCGTAAATCCTTTTTCACACATAAAATACGTGCGAACTAAAATTGTATGCATGACACCGTAAACTATCAAGAACAAGATACTCACCCGTAGCTCGACCAGTTTGAATGGCGTCCATCAGAATATCAAGGCCATTCAGGTCCAAATGATTGAACTTCGCGATGAATTCAGGATCATAGCTGAGCCTAACCATCTCTTCCAAAGCCTTTGGAGCCAGAAGAGTCTCCCCATCACTGTCCGCGTCAACCTGACCGAGTGCCTTTAAAATGTGAACAATTTTTTTGCTCATCTTGTCGGGTGACAGTGTCAACTTCAGCATTGAACCTAGAAATAAATCAATGAAATAAAGAGGGGGAAACAAATATATATGATTTAGTCCACAAAAGACTTTTCGCTCTTTAAGCAAAGAACTTCCTTCGGTTTCAAAGTCGCGAAGCTGATCTTTTTTAGAAGAGAAAATGTAAAAGTAACCAATGGTCAAGTTTAAGTGAAAAATATCTACAAAATAGCATCCAAGAACACAGGGAGTTCACAGACTACGGCTAGATAGCGTCGCTTTAAATTTACCGTACTTACGCTTGAAAGTGAAAATATTGTGACCGGAAGGACTAACTCACAGCTTACCCGTCTTTATGTTTCCTCTATTTGCTTCAGTGATGTATCGGTCGTTTGTTTCCTGTGTTTTTTCTTCGTCGAATTGCAAGGCATAATCATCCGCATCCTCTGATCCAATTTTCCAAATGTTGCAAACATCTTGGATCTGCGGATTCAATGACGCGCTCTGATCGATTTTGAAAAGCTCTTGTCCCCGGTTTTCGAAGTTGTGGTCCACAAAAACTACCGCGAGTTTTATGACCTTCCCCGGATCACTTTCCGGCCTCATTTTCACGATAACACAAAACGGAAATTCAGTACACAGTAATCACTTCTCTGCAATAGAATGAGCATTTTAGAAATTATTTTTGCTATACTACTACATCTAATGAACCAGCAGATCGATTGACAGGATAAATTCCTTGAAAATTTGAAAAACTGCCCAGAAATCACAGCGGAGGAAGACCAACAATCCGCAAATTTCCCGCCTGACGCCCAACAGCAGATCTTAAGCAATCCTTCACAATGTTGTTGATTTCTAGCATGGCGAGCTCCGCATGCATCGCTAAAGCTTTGTCGTCGCTAGAGGTATAAATCCGCTTCAATGATCTCCACACCGGCAGCAGTTCACGACTATGTGCCTTGAAAGAGATTTGAAAACGAATAATTTGTTCGAATATTCCGGAGATCTCTAGACTAAAAACTTAGTAATTCAGGAGCTTACGGTGAGATAATCCTTCCCAACGCCAGATATGGTTTTGTGAACCAAATGAACAGCTGCTCGACGAACAATTTCCGCGGGATCATTAACCAAATTTTCAGCCGTTCGCAAGATCTGTTTTTGGGAAGCAAAGAAGTGCACTACCTGGTATTTGAAATCAAGTTCACAGTTCATACCACAGGAACTTCATTTTTCATAAGTTTTCCAGCGCCTTGCATCAATTCCGCAAGGCAAGAAGCAGCAGAGGCACGGATTTCAGGTTCGGGGTCGCGAACACATGCAAGTGCAGGATGTAATACATAGTTGCGATGATGATACGCCAATTCTCCTAAAACACAAAAAATTGAGCTTCGAAAGGAAGTTCGTTCAGTAGACTGAGATCGCCTCCTGTCCTCACGAAATATATATCGTAATTAACAATATTCCAATTAACGAACGGATCACGGATGAAATCACTCACCCAATCGACGAACGCAGCGAGTTATTGCTTCGCCAATTTTTAGCCGCGTTTCGAAATTCATCAGCTTATCCTCCACATTTGCAAATTGCTTGCCAAGTAAGCCCAAGGCATCCGCCGGAGACGCAGCCGCCATCGCAACGACAGCACGGGTAGCCATTTCATACACGTATGAATCTTCGTGTGCCAAGTTATCCTGGAGTTCATCATCCATTCACATCAGATACAATTTCGAAAATATTAAGCTTCACGGGTACAGATAAATTTAAAAAGTAGACCACTAACCTCCAGTAGCCTCCGTAAAGCCGAAATATTGCTCAATATTTCCGCATCTTTCGAGTCTAGCAGCTTTGACAACTTCATCAAGCCAGCACCACGAATAGCCGGCTCACGATCAGCGATTAGGGTTAAAACATCACGTGCAGCTTCTGATTTGACCCCGAATGTTTTCAGGTGATCATATTCACCAAAATCTTCGCGCAATACTTGATTTTCGACAACATCCGAAGAGCTCAGATATATCCGCTTTAAACTTTCAGTCACATCAGATGCGCTACATTCCGTATTCAATAGATGACCTTCCCTGGCCTTTGAGGCTTCAACATTTTCCTTTGCTTCGGACATGGTATTTGATTTATTTTCGATATCGATAGCTTTCAGATGATTTTCGAACGCAGAGGCACCAAAATGTCGCCCAGGGGACATTTTGGTTGACTCTGTCGCAATTTCGGGATTCAACTCGTCAGACATGGAGGCCACTAATTGCTCAACGAGCATTTCTAAATCCCCTGCGCTTCGAGTTTTGATCGCAGTAACGTTTCCTGCAGCAAGATGTCGGATTGATGGATCGGAATGCTTGGATGCAAGAACTTCCAAATGTCCCAAAACCTCGGATCGCTTCTGCCAGAACTCATCATCCAAAATCTTAAACAAATGAGAATGATCGTATGCGTAAAAAAGACAGCCGTGTAAGAAAGGTCGCGATTAACAAACATACTTCTGAAGATGCGAGTATTCCGTGATGTAAGACCAAACAAGACTTCAGGGTAGCAGTCTTCATGCTCATCATTGCATCATTAGAATTTCTTCGAGAGCAATCGATCACAGCTTCACGGAGTGGTATCTTGAAGACACATATTATTAAAAATCGAAGCAAAAAATTTAGGACCGATCTTCGCTTCAACCCTCCACATTTGCTACATTTCTTCGATGTTAGCGTTACCACCGCACGTTTGTTATGCTTTAAAAGGTTACCTTCGTGTTTCAAAGAACTCGTGTTTCATTAAATTAAAAAATAAGAGTGTCAAGGCTTGAAAGGTTGAAGTTTCATCAAATCTCACCAACAACATCGCCAAAGAATCATCACGATTTTTTGATAGAGCGACGAACGTTTCAGGATTGGCCAACAAAGAGTGGACGAACTTGAACTCCACCAACTTCATCAAAAGCTTGGAATCATCTGGACGGACTTCGGACGTCGAATTCTTCCCAAAAGATGTAAATGCCTCTTTCAGACCATAGAGAACCAAAGCACTGACCAAATTATCGCTCTGAAAATCAAGGAAAATCTCAACGTGAAAATATACCCACCCAATTTTAATGAGAACAGAAATTACCTTCACACTTTCGAAAATCAAATCCATGATCAGATCATTTTGAAAATCTTTTTCGTCCTCGAACGTTAGCTGATCGGATTCTTTAGCTACGCAAGCAGAGAAGCCGTCACCATCCGGTGCAAAGGAAATTCTTCGATTCATCGGATAAGACATTAAATGACCCAGATCACCAAGGTTCAATCGAACCGTGGCATCCGTGAGCACGGCAAGAATGAGAGAACACGATACGTCGGCATTCAGCCTTTGCAAGATTGACACCAGAATACTTCGGACTCGCGTGCTGAACCAAGATGCGGATCCATTTGAAAATTCGTGCAGCCTGAAGAGCGACGAAAAAATAGGTACCAGCAGTCTGGGTAGATTTTCCGACATCCCGGAAACGGCCAATAACTTCTGCAAACTACGAATATTTTTGGTGAGCAATATTCGACAGTCGGAATTATAACGCGGAGCTTACCGATCAAGAAGAAGTCCAATCTCATCTTTCCTGCTTTTCGATGCGTCGTACTCAGCCACAGTCTCGTAAGATGAATGGAAAATTTCAACCTCGTCAGATTTATCTTCATTTGTTTTCAATGCTTCATCGCTCGTGCTTTTGTAACACACACACAAAAGAGGTTGAAATATGGGATAGAGCAGGAAATTTAACATTGCGTCGAAAAGTTGAGGCTTTCCAGATTTGGTGATCCAATCGACGCAGTTCAGGAAGAAGGCAACGTAACGATTCTGACTGAGGCGATCTCCAGAAAAATCCAAGAGACGCGTGAGCTACCAACGCACTATTTTTAGCAACTGATATGCTTAAATTCTTAATTCCTACTCACTTGAGGACAAAAAACTTGGAAAATTTTATTGACGTCGACCTTCGGTTTCCGCAGTAGCAACCCTAGAGTAAGTTCACACAGAGCGACGCATTTTCTATCTTCACTCGATGCAAATGAGGGATCATCTTCACCCACACCCTCAATGTTGAGAAATGCATTCGCAATTGTTTCAACGCCTCTCGGTCGCAAAAATAACTTTCCCAATTCGCTTCGAAATCCCACTTCAAAATACCCTGGAAGCACACGTCCTTGTTTCTGCAGAGAAGTATTGATGAAACGTCAGCAAAAAAAAATCGGAAATTTGAAACTTCCCCACTCACAAACTGTCTGGAGCATAAAGAGAGCAGCAGAAAATAATTCCGAACAATCTCGGTCAGGAAAAATGATTCGTAGAAATAGGACATCACTTTCGCAACAACTTCTTTCGCACTGATTTCAGCAGAATTCCTCGGCGAGTACAAAACCTGGACGATGGCAGCTTGAATGTCAAGACCGAGTTTCTGTGACATGTTTACAATCATGTTGGGATGAGTAAGAAATGCTTTCGCAGTCACCAGGTTCTCTGTCAAAATAGCATTTCGCTGAAAAAAAAAAAACAGGATCGCAAAAGTCAAAAACTAAAGCCACACGACGATTGCTCGAAAGAACAGCAAGGTATGATTTACTGTGCCCTGAAAAATAACCTTTCACGATTACATGTAGTCTATCAAAATTATGTCTAGAAAGAGCACAAATGGCGTACAAAAGCTACGCTCCACGGTCACACAAAACGCACCTGATGGAGATTCAGGCTTGGATCTTCTCTCAAGCGTTGAAGAAAACAGGTGATCGAATCAGATTCACTTCGGGTTTTGAATTTTTGGTTGAACTGAAGCCCAACGCCTGGCATCAAAAGGGAGTGGAAACCCAGAACACTCAAAAATTTCGCAACGGTCTGGAGCACGCCTTGTTCTTTGATACTCAAGCAATCGAACGGCATCGGAGGGACATCCCTGGAATCTTTTGAGTCATAGTTTTCCATGAAAACCTTATATTCTTCGTCCAAAGAATTCAGTGCTTCGGCTAGCGTGATAAGTGTTCCGATCAGTATCTCCACGTATTTGGCGCCACAAATTTTTTCACTACAAAAATAAAGAAAAACCTTCCAGATACCACAGAGAAGTACCGAAGCTTGTCCTTGTGATCACCGAAATTCTCCGGTCGTGCGAGAAAGCCCTTCCTTCTCCAGTATACGCAGAAGTTTCGCATCGCACCGAGAACAGAAGGTTCCGTATTTTTCAAGCAGCTCATTCGCTTTTGTATCAAATGCAGCATTCAAGGAAGTAAGCCCTGTGAAGAAGGAGCGAAAAGTTACATTTCACATGAGCGCGGAGTCCATCGATTGTATCATACCTGTTCCAGTGGTATCATCCAGAATTATGGCTTCATCTAAAAGGTTGAAGCACTCGCGCCTCACTTCCTCAACCATTATCAATCGAGGGTTACGATATTAAAAATTCCGACTTATCTGTTCACATAATTCCAGGATTCAGTCATCGGCCAATTGACAGAGCAGATTCACTACATGTAGGATGTAGATGCATAATCCAAGAGCCTGGGTTTCGCAAGATTACAGCCGTAGGACTGCATGACACTTCGAAACCCAGGAATACGGCCACTCCGAAGAGTTTAGAAAAAGGTCGGAGCTTAAAAGGTCATGCGCCGCGGAAAAAATTCATGCGCAGAAAAGAGAGAGGCACACTCCGATTCTGCAACCTGGCTTTCAAAATCGACGGAACATATCAGGCCCACCGCTCCAGACAACACCACGGTTCAACGATACTGAATACTGTATTATAGGAACAGTAATCTGATCTGTAGGCTCCCGGAAATTGCAGTGAGTAAGAGCGACATCTAATTATTATTTTATATATCCGCTGAGCGCTGTGTCAGAAGTTCTCGTTTCCTTTCGTGCGCTGATCCCGAGACGTGGGACATTTTCAGTCAGTGATCTTGTTCGACTCAGCACGTTGATCTTGAATGCGAACTACGATAATGTAAAACTTCGCTAGACAATGTGAATTGAAGCCTTCGTCTGTTCCATGAAATTTGTGCGTTTCTTCTGTTCAGTTGAAGTGTATGTAGTGTTTCTCGAGAGGGAACTGCTGAAGTATCTCTCGCGATGTCTGACAGCGAAGGTAGCTACAACAGCGATTCTGACGTAAGTATGCATTGCTTTCAGCGTTCACCGGCCGTTTCATGAACCTCATTTCCTGTTTCTCAGGCTTCTGGCGATGAGCGTGGAAGCGTGAAATCGAATAAATCCGGATCGCGGTGAGTTACTCGATTCAATCAGCTGCTAGTTCGAAGATGTTCAATAAGATTTTTTCTTTAAGTTCCGGATCTGGGTCACCTGCGAGGTCTGCCTCTGGTTCCCCGCAATCTTCCAAATCGAGATCGAAATCTCGGTCTAAGTCTAGATCCAAGTCCCGTTCGCGCTCACGTTCCCGATCGCGCTCGAAATCCGGCTCTGGATCTGAATCTGAGGACGAAGACGAGGTAAGGTGTTTGCATATGAAACGGAGCGACTCTTTTATTTTCTTGAAGGCAAGAGATGTGCTTATATGTGTGCCTCTATCACGAAAAGTTCGTTACTTTTTTTTTATAAGTGGACTTCATGAACTTGCTAACTTACGGTTCAGTTGAGAAATTCTCCGGTGTTGGATCTGTCTCAACTTGTTCGTTATATCTAGTACGACGAAGAAGAGGAAGAAGACGAGCGTCCTAGGAAAAGGAATAAGATCCGGAGTTCTTTCATCATCGATGAAGCTGAAGTCGACGAAGAAGGAGATGATGACGATGAAGAGTGGGAACAAGGTGCGAAAGAGATTTTGGCGCGAGATGATCGTGAACGAGGACCTACGGCGAGGGAAATTGAAGGAAATCGCCGTTTACAACACCTGTGGGAAAACAAAGAAGCTGATGAAATCGCCAATTATTATCGCATGAAGTACGCCGATGATTCAACAACAAACTTGTTCCGCGATGGAGGCGATGAGCTGCAGGACGACATTGCCCAGCAAACTCTTCTACCTGGTGTTAAAGATCCTAACTTGTGGATGGTCCGCTGTCGTCTAGGAGAAGAAAGAGCCACCGTGCTCCAATTAATGAGGAAAGTGATAGCTTTTCAATCTACGAACGAGCCTTTGCAGGTCAGTTTTTCCTTTTCTGCAAGTATTTTGACGTGATGACATGAGAATTTGTGTAATGCAGATCAAGTCTGCAATAGCTCCTGAGCACGTGAAGGGATACATATATATTGAGGCCTACAAACAGACCCATGTGAAGAACGTCATCGAGAATATCCGAAGCTTGAGCATGGGTGCGTGGAAACAGCAGGTCAGATTCATCTTGGAATTGTTCATTTGGTTTATTCAGTCCATATTGAACCTTTTTTATGTCACTTAGATGGTTCCCCTCACGGAGATGACAGATGTATTGAAAGTCGTCAAGGAGACTGCCCCTTTGAAACGGAATGCTTGGGTTCGCCTAAAACGTGGATTGTTTAAAGAAGACCTTGCTCAAGTTGATTACGTTGACACGCCGCAAAACACGGTTCACCTCAAGCTGATTCCCCGCATTGATTATTCTCGCTTGAGGGGCGCATTAAGGACGAATACTGATGAAGACGAAAATAAGAAGAGAAAGCGAATTGCTGTTAAGAAACGACCACCTCCGAAATTATTTGACAAAGATTCGATCCGTGCAATAGGTGGCGACATTGCCCATGATGGCGATTTCATGGTTTTCGAAGGAAACAGATATTCGACGAAAGGATTCCTGTACAAGAATTTCAATATGAATGCCATTATATCTGAAGGTGCAGTGCTGAGAACGTGCTGCCACTGTAAATTAACTACATTTCATCTCATCTTTTCTAGGTGTCAGTCCAACTTTGGCAGAATTGGAAAAGTTTGAAGAAGCTCCTGAAGGCGTTGAGATTGATTTGAATGCGCTGTCTGCAAGCAAAACTGGATCAGCTCCATCACACAGGTTCTCTACCGGTGACGTGGTCGAGGTGTGCGAAGGTGAATTGATTCACCTTCAAGGGACAGTTCGTAACGTCGATGGGAATAAGATAACCATCGAGCCAAAACATCAAGAGCTAAAGGTTGATATTCAGTCGTTCTATTCTCTGATGTTCGTGGTGTCTTGAAGATCTCTTTTTGTTCAGGAACCATTGGAGTTTCAAGCTTTCGAGTTGAAAAAGTACTTCAAGGTGGGCGACCACGTTAAAGTAATCGCGGGTCGCTTTCAAGGTGACACTGGACTGATCGTTCGGGTCGAAGGGTCCATGGTAGTTTTGTTCTCTGATTTGACTATGCATGAGTTGAAGGTAAGCCATGATTTCCCCGGGCCTGTTTTACTAGTTATGCTCCGAGTGTACAAATATGCTCATAGGTTTTATCCCGAGATCTACAATTATGCACGGACATGGCGACAGGAGTGGACTCACTTGGCCAATTCCAATACGGGGATTTAGTACAGGTTGAGTGAGTATGCATGAGATTTTGAAAGCTGGATTTCTTGAAAACCGTTTGTTTTTATTTTAGTACTCAAACGGTTGGAGTCATTATTCGATTGGAAAAGGAGCAGGTCGAAGTTTTGAACATGCTTGGTAAAGTCATGCGCGTTAAGCCTCAAACTCTTTCGTTGAGGAAAAGTTCGCGATTTGCGATGGCTTTGGATGCGGATTCAAACTCGATCCAGGCAAAAGATATTGTCAACGTAACTGATGGACCCCATATCGTGAGTACAGTATTCCCCTGTTCTACTATCTTTGAAGAAAGCTTGAATTTAATTTCTACGCGAACGTCAGTTTGAGTTGTTTCAAATGTATTTGCATTGTTTCTCTTGTGCGCAGGGCAAGAAAGGAGAAATCAAGCACATCTACCGAAACTTCGCATTTGTCCACAACAGGCAGCACATGGAGAATGGCGGTTTCCTTGCTTGTAAAGCGCGCCATGTACAGCTGGCTGGCGGGAATAGGGTGATTATGCTTACAAATTACTATGCACAGATCTGTAGTCCATTAAAAATTCTCTTCATTTGAATTAGAGTACTTCGCTGTAGTTTGCTCCTGTGAAAAAACAGATTTTTCTCTTTTTTCCGAACACACTATCTCTGATTGAGGACCTGAAAGCTGAAACAGATCTGATTTTAACCAAACATCATTTAAGGTTTTAAGCCAAATTGATTTTCATGAACTTCAAGCGACGTCTAAGTGAGAAAATTAAGCTTTTAGGGACTCTCTACAATTCAAGACGAAAAAAGCTTCAATTGTGTATAGCAGTTATTTTTCAGAAGTTTTCCGAGTAAATTGTTTGCTAAGGCGACCTTGTTTTGGAAAATGTATTATTTTCAGGCTCCCATGAGTGGAGCAGCAGCTGGCGGTATGTCCCCGAGTGTCAACATGAGTCCAAGATTGTCTTCCCCGGCGCATCCCGGTGTTCCACGTTCACCGAGTCTGGGCGGGATGACGCCGAACCGCGATGGCGGAGCGACTCCGCGTGCTGGTGGCGGCGGCGGCGGCGGTGGTGGCGGCGGAGGAGGTCACGGAGGTTTCAGAGGCGGCCATCAGCGATCTACCCGTGATGGCAGACTCATTGGCGCAACGGTGAAAATCAACAAGGGTCCGATGAAAGGTCACGTTGGTATTGTCAAAGATGCCACGGAAGAAATCGTCAAAGTGGAATTGCACGCGAAGTATCAAACCATTTCCGTGGACAGGAACCGCATAGAAACAGTTGCATCTGGAGTGGATGCCGGTTCGGGCGGTATTTCTTCGTATTCTCGCACGCCGCAATACGCTGGCGGTCAGACGCCGATGTACGCGGGTGCCGGCGGCAGGACACCGATGTATGGATCTGCTACACCATCTTACGGTGGTGCGACGCCTCGTTACGGTGGCAGTGCGGCTTCCGAAGGTGGAAGGACACCGGGTTCGGGTGGAATTTGGGATCCTACTGTGGCTAATACACCGGCCCACGAAATGATGGACGATTTTGGGTACGGAGCTGGGGATGACGACGGGCCGAATACTGGTGTTCCGTCACCTTCTCCGTCTTCATCTGCGCATTCTACGGGATATTCTTCATCGACGGCGGGGTCGAGAGGACTCGCCGGTTTGGACGCTTATCAACCAGGGACTCCTGCTGGCTCGCAGTATACTTCGGATCATTCGTATTCGCCGTACAATGTTGCCGACACCCCCTCACCAGGCGTTGCTTACCAAGGTGCGAAACCCAACATGTTTGCTTCGTTGATGGAATAATTTTTCATTTACGATGGTTTTTTACATTTCTGCTACGCTCTACCTGCATAATTTTGTTGAAAGAAATAACTAGCATGACGATACCACAGTTAACTAATTCTTCTATCCACTTGATGGCGTCTCGCTTGAATCTGCGCTTCATAGAGACTGTCTTGGATCATGTAAAATTTGGATTCAAATCGGCGTTCGTTTGAAGTGTTCGTGCGTTGAACGAAAAGATGTGATTTTTTTATTGAGTTTTGACTTACCAATGATAGACCCTCTAACAGTATCTAACAGTAATAATAGACTATCGAACAGTATAATTGATGAAACCTCGTTAGCGATACTGAAGTGTATATTTTTTTCGTTAAGATTGTCATCACGCGGATGTTTGAATTTTTCCTTTCTTATTTTCTTGTTGAGAATCACGGCGTGATCAACCGGAGGATACTTCATTAGTGTTTCCTACTAAATACGTATTTTTGGGTGATTTCCAGCTTCACCAGGAGGCTCGTATTCATCACCGAGCCCTGGAGGAAATTACTCGAGCTCTCCTTCTCCCGGTCATAGCTACAGCACGCCATCTCCGATGATGTATTCTTCTTCACCGGTGACACCGGGAAGCAGTGGTTCTCCATACAATCCTCACACGCCGAATGCTGGTAAGATATATGCGAATGCAACAATTGCGATCATGGAATGAGCTTATCATGTTCTCTATTTTCAGCCGTTGATCCGTTAGCCTCTCAAGATTGGTACACGACTGATATAGTTGTACGTATCAAAGAAACTCATCGAGACATGCGAGTCGCTGGTCAGATCGGGATCATCACTGGGATTTCGGTAAATAATGTTGCACACATTTTCCAAGGCTCTTGAAAGCATTTTATTTGCATAACATTTGAAGGCCGGAAACTGCACCGTGTTGTTGGAATCGGAGGATAGAACCGTCAACGTTTTGGGTGAAAATTTAGACCCCGTGTTACCGACCCGAGGCGACCGAGTGAAGTTTCTTGTCGGTGAAGATCGCGAAACCACTGGAGTTCTATTGTCAATCGATGCCCAAGAGGGAGTCGTCAAGATGGATAACTCGGAAGAGATTAAGATGATTCCCCTAAATCTTCTGTGTAAAATGCGGAAGTAGATGCAGTTCTGATTGAAGCCTTACATTTATGTTTCATTTGAGTTGAAGTTCTGTTGATTTTTTTTTGTTTGCGTCTCCTAGAACGCGTCGATTATTCTGTTGCGTCGTCCGTCGCGTCGATTGTGAATTGAAATTTTATTTCCATTTGTTCGATCGTGCATAAAACTTTTTAATCATGTCGAGACCGAGTGATGCTAGCAGTTCTTTAGTATTTGCCAACGACGAGGAAGCGACGAGTTCTGGGGCAACAAGCCGTGGCTCTCATCGCGTGCGTCGCATCCGATCCCTCGGCAGCGCGTTGTGGATGTCAATGCGTCGCAGCTCACCCCTCATGTTGAAACCTGTTTCCTGTGAACACTTCCCCGACATTCGTCGAGATAACTCCGCGTCCGTCAGTGAAAAGGGAGTTCGTTCTACGAATTCGTCTACGCTGAGGTTTGAAGCCACGCCTGTGGTAGTGACGGATGAGTTGACTAGCTTCTTCGCCGACCATTTGCCCCGAGACTACGTCGATATCCCTGTTGTGCATCCGGATTACCTGTCTCCTGAAAGTGGCCGGAATGACTATCGCAGTTTGATGGACAATCCTTGGAAGATGACCATCATTCCTGGGAGCACGTACGCTCAGCAGAATCAGTTCTGTCTGATGGAGTTCTACTCACCAGTGTAGTAGCTTTTCCTCCTAACCATAGTACATATGCGAAAGTGCGAATTGGAAGTTTCACGGGCTAGACTCAAGAATATTCGATCTATATTCGAACAAAGATAAATATTGTAGATGAATTTCGTCGAGCTGATCTGAGTTACCATTAACCACCTTAAAAGACTATCAAATTGACGTTAATTTGATCGTCTTTCCGATGATTCAGGATTCATAGCTCTTGCTGAATTGGTGCGATCGCTGCAACCATTTAAAAGAAAATTCACATGCTTTCTTCGTTCATGTTCAGATTCTGCCGATCATGTGTCGAGAGGTTTATGTAATGCTTCAAACTCCTGTAGTGAAATATTGTAATTAAGCAAACTAATGTAGTTCAATATTTTAATTATGACTTTTAACAACAGCAATGCCTTTTTAATCCACAAGTAATTACTGTGTGGGATAATTAATTTCAATCCATGATTCTGAAATAAATAAAAGAACTCCATGTTCTTCAAATGGCTTAGAGGAAAATTGTATGTCTACTACAGGTTAGTTTAAAGTAAGATCAGGAATAAAAATAAAACCAGCGAAATGTGAGCATAGGTGCGAAAAACCGTCTGGAATGATTTTTGCGAAATTATTTCAAATGGTCATGGTGGGCAGTGCTGGAAGAGTCGTAAAATGAGGCATAGTCAGTGAGGTAATGTTCTGCACGTATACGTTTCATAAGCAGTGCTTTCAAATACGAGCCTGAAATGAATCTCGTATAAGTTGGTCCGATCGTTCTGGAGATATCAAATTAATTCACGGATTATGGCCACTGTGTAGAATCTCAACCTTATTTAGCCCATCCTTTCCTGACAAAATATGAACTCCATCATCTTGAAAGTTTCATGAACGCAGAACAAAGTGTACATAAGCAGCGGAAATGCTCACCTTCCCGCACCGAGGTGGACAACGCAGTTGCTGGCCACTCTGCCCGCACATGGTTCTCACAGCAATCATTCCCTTCACGAGGAATTGTTCCTAAACAAAATGTCGTATAACTTGTTTTGTTTGAAAGTTTTCCTGCTGTTGTTTGCTCAAGTCGTCTTCGGGACTGCCGCTTTGAAGCTGATCGTATGGTGAGTGAAGCCCTGTGTTAATCAAACTCTCGCGTGATAACTTTGCTGTGCCTGAAAATCTTAGGAAGTTGGATGCTTTTTTTCATTCGAGTCCGGTTTTACTCGCCGTTTCCGCGTGAGTATGCTTTATGGTCTGGCATACTTCTACGCATACATATAGACTTGTGTATTTACCAGGTTGTTGCTGTTCACTGCCTACACTGGTGGCATCTGTTTCAGAAAATGGCGAAGATGCTTTCCTGTAAATCTATTGATGTTGTTCAGCTTTGTAAGTTCCCTGAGAAATAAGCGGAGTTGTTCAAAAGTTCCAAGAAAATAGTAGGAATATGTGTACTGTTGTGTGATCAGATCTTGTCGCAGAAACCGAACAAAACGTGTTGAACTTGATCGTCATTGTCCTTCCAAGCGGTAAATGTATCAGATAATGTACTTTATTACTTGAGGTTCTGAAAAGATTGTGGATAAATGATGATTTCCTTTGAGCTTTTGTCCCTCTATAAAAATGCGTTTGCGGAATTTTGACTTCGGGAACTTTCTTCCGATAGACGGCAACTTGCACCTTTTCACTGAGTGCCTTGTCCGTTTGCGTCCGGTCCTCCGTGATCATTTTGGCTGCGCTCGGTTCTGCATTATCGTTGCTGGTCCTTATTTTCATGTGTGTTCAGTTTGTCGTAAGTTGTATTGATCCTCCTAGAGATGGCCAAAATTATTCCCAAGAGCTCTATTCTCCGCAATTTTATTTCAAGTTCCGGATTAATTTCCCGACCGTGTTCTTGATGGTCGAGTTGGTCCTTGGACTGATTGTGGGCGCCAAATTTGTGTGGACGTACTTCTCCATTCTTCCTTATCCATGGACTATCACTGAAACGCTCATCGCCGTTGGGGTGTCTACACTCGCAAATTTAGTCAGTATAATCGGTATTTTCAGCCTAGCTTACTTATGGGTTTAAAGAAAAGATCGCGGATACCTGATCGCCGTATCTGCTTGCAATTGTTTCTGGACTCGAATTATGCCCCAGCTTAGAGAGAAGATTGTTTTTTGCGGCTGACATTAAAGTCAGCTGGTGCATAATTAAAGTCATTTGTACGATAGTTCTTCAAAAACGTCGTGCATAATATAGGAGCAGGTTCACTGCAAGTCATCAAATTGATCTTCCATCGCAAATGTTATGCTCCTCGCCCATTAACTAGTTGTAAAATGGCTATCAGTTTATCTTCACCCAAATAATCAATTCCTGCTTATCCATCACTCCCTTCCAATTTTAGTTGAAATAAAATATAGTTAAACCGCTTTAAAAATTACAGATAGCCGAATATTGAAGGAAACTTTTATTCAAGTATTCAAGAATAACCCGATGCAATGAACAGTTCGTTGAATTTCAACAAACTTGAAGAGCATTAGGTACATAATTTTCTCAACTGGAGGGAATGTGGCGAGATCCGATTCAGATTAAATATGCATAGCAGATTAAATCTGCATCGATTCATATTAAAGATGCGTTCAAGGAGTCCCGAGCCCATCGAATTGCACGATTTAGTGCATGTTCAAACTTTCTCATTGCGAGACTCACCCGACTTCGTTTGAAATTCTTGTCACAATGGAACCATTGCTTCAAATGAAGCGTAATTTTCTGTAGTACTGGACATGGAATCTGGATCTTATCATGCGTGGTTTCAAGTACGAAATTACGAAAGCAGATGCGGTGTATGTCGCTGTCAATTTCTACTACGATTGGCTGTTCATGATCGTGGCGACGTTCGAAGCTTGCATTATTTGTGTCGTTGGAGAAGAAAGGGCCGCTCAGAGATTCAGTCGTCGCAGTCAAGAAGATTCGCACTTTCTGGAAGATGAAGAATATGTAATCGACCCTTAGCTTGACAGGAAATTCACAAGAAGCAAAGGATCCATCGTACAAGCGATGGTTACTTATTTTAAAGCTCTTCATTTTCGTTAGCCAACCAGATTTCTCCCATCAGTGCATCTCCCGAATCAATACGTGAAAGCAATGACAGACTTCCTGCAAGGCCTGTATTCATCGCCTACCGATGGTTGTTTTAAATTTCAGTCTTCGCTAGGTTAAATTTTCCCAAACCATTTTGAGTAAATCCTTACTCACTTTAATGTTCTTCGTTGAAATCTGGTACCATTTCAAATACACTTCTGAAGAATTAGGCAAAATGTACTGGTGATCATGAATTGCACTCATTAATCCAGATCGATGAATCAGGATAGGTCTGAAAACGCCAATCTCTCACCATTCACCGGTTTTCCAACAAGGATATCAAAAGACGAACAGAGCTTACAATTCAACTTTTGCACACAGATTCATCTCAAGAAATCAGATTCTCACCGGGCAGAAAATGAACGAATTAAAAGTTTCCGAATCACTGAATCAACTCAATGACTATACTTTGTTTCCACACATATCTCAAATGACCAAGCCCGAAATCGACCAAAAGCAAAAATTCCTCACAGTGCATGCAAAAAGAATCACGGGTAATCTCAATCCAACACATCCTTCAGTGCTCACAAGGTGAAAAATACCACGTATACTCTGACACGACACAGACTTAGAATCGGTAAAATAATCCCTTCCAATCCAAATATAACTTTCTTCCTCGCTTTCAACCGTGTAGCAATAAATTAGGCTCACTAAGCTGAACATCTGTGGCATTAACATGACTAACAATGCGTCCCGTGATCGCCTAGATCTTTTTCAGGCACCTTATTTTTCAACGACAATGCTGACCACGAATTACAAGCATAAAAATTGCTGAAGCTCAAGAACTGTGCCCGAAAAATACAAGGGAATGTAAAAAAAAAGTTGCCATTCTTCAGAAGGCACTTCAACGAGTCCGTGTAAGTTAAAACAAAGAAACAAACTTTTCACGCCTCCAGCTTTCCAAGCTCCGAAATGTAAACGCCGATGCTCTGACTGTCGTAAAGGACGAAGAAAAGTTGGTTCAGGCTTGTGCTTCGATTCCCTTTGAAGTAATCTGAAATGGCCTTCAAAATCGTCGCAGCTGCCAGTTGTTTCGGGAAACCTCCCCTGGAATGCAATAGCAAATTGAATTTAGTTTTTTCTACAGAATTCTGATGCATTATCTTTATTCAGCTTCACGACATACGAATGATGGAAACCAACCTTCCGCTTCCAATTGATGGGACGGCTATGGATTTGAACTTTTTCTCATCGGCTGCAGTGAGACAGTTTGTCACACTCCTTGTGAGCGCGTTTACCGAGGTTTCCGTATTTGAAACATCCCAGTTCGGTCCATTCACATGAACAACCCACGGCGCACCAAAACCATGACCTCGAGACACCATAGCTAAGGATGAAGCTTGAAATTAATTTTCAAACTCGAAATTACATAAGGTGTTCAAAAAGTAGCTGTGTAGAGGAGAAGTCAAACCTTCTTGCGTGTTTCATCACATCTCGGATAAAATTCCCACAAAAATGCACAAATACAGGTAGTGAACATTTCTGGAATAGCTTCAAGCAGAAAATTTCCTTATTTTACGAAAATTCCCGCAAAAACTTTATCAACGTCATCTTTTCTCCTACATCAAGGTTGATGCCTTTAAAAAATAATCCAGAAGCACTAAGAACTTAGTGCAAATTAAAATGCTACCGTAACTGCCAGTGACAAACCCTCACGCAAAAATAATTCATCACGGTGATGAAGACGGGGGTTCATTCTGCATTACAGAGTTATCTCTGCATGGCATCTTTTTGGACACCACATTCATCCCGTAAGAATTGGGAAGGAGAGCATTGTGATCTGAGAAAAAAGAACCTTTGAACAAAAGCTGAATTCACGTAAAACGATTTTTCAGGCTTTTGAACAGTTTCTTCACAACAATATTATCTCAACAGTACTGTACTGCACGATAAATATTTAGTGTCGTAGAGGGTCCAACATAATTTCATAAAACGCGTACAGTATCATAAATACAAGGGACGAACAAAAAAAATAATCACAATTACACACCTCCATTTGGTGGAATTTGACCATGGTCTTTCTCCATGTTCTTAAGTTCCTGAGCAAACACAGTGCCGCCAATTTTGGCTAAGGCTGTGCCTATTTCTCCTGCAAGACTGTAAGAAGAGTCTGTTGGGTGCACAATGGCATCCACTGCGATACTGGCTATATGGGCTTGGACCACAGTCAACCTCTGCCCGGTGAGCAACAACTTTTCCGAGAGCACCGCATACAGGAGCCCAAACCCCTTCCCACCTTTTCCCGGTTTATTGGCAGCTTTCGCCTTGTGCTTCACACCAGCTGCGGAAGCACGAGGTAAAGAAAATCACTCATGATTGTCATATCAGTCAAGTATTTCAAGTAAGCCTCACTGTATTTTACAAGAGGCTGCGGCGTGTTTGACGCAGAAAATACGGACGCTACAGGCACTGGTGCTCTCACAGGGGGCTTAGGAACAGGGACGATGGGAGATTTGGCAGGAGCAGATTTGTATTTCTTCAATAGAAGTTCATGAGGCTGTTTCGGCACAACTCCGGCCTCTGGTATAGTTACAGTTTTGTTCATCTGAAAAATATATTTCATTATACTGAAAATAAATAAATTCTAAAAAATAATCTCACTTCGTAAAGCTCAGCATCCTGAGCAATGCCCAGAAAAATTGTCCTCGGAGTCAAGCGACGTTTCCCCAATTGCTTGGCAGCACCTCCGGCCAACTCCAGAACTTCAGCTGAAATTCACATTTCCGACATTATTCCTCGTTTCTTCAAGTGCAAATAGCAACATACCAGTCAGATATTCCAAAACTGCTGACATGTAAATAGAGCTCTTATCAGAAATGCGGAATCTTGGCAGTTTCGAGCGAAACTGATGATAGAAACGAGTCACAGGAAAAGTCAATCCAGCTTTAACACTTTTCGAAAGCCTTTTGGCTTTCTTCCCGGGAGGTTGAACAGCCCTTGTTGACATCACGATGATAATATCACCCGAAAGAAAGAACACTATACAGAAACACCACAGTTCCTGTACATGAAAAACAAAATGGTCATTCCAGCAGAGTCCTCCCTTTTCCGTGAATTGAAACTGCACGGATTATGCAAGAACAACTTTAATGCCAAACGTCGAAAAAGCAATCGAACTGAATAAAGAAACATCCACGAGATCTCATCAAACCAAATAAAAGCGTTTCCACACATGCCCAATCGATCGAACCTCATAAGGCAATTACAAACTAAATGAATTCATAGGAACTTTGGTATATCTTTGAATCGGAACAAAAGTAACGTTCAACTCTTCCATTATCCATGTTCAATTTACATCAAATATTAAATGAATGGGGACTTGACTAGGAATGAATGTAGCTTCATGATGGCACAGTTCAATGCACAAATGTCCATGATCCCATTTTAGAAATGCATTCTCCTGAAAAATAAAGATGCTTAATTTCCATCTAGTTGACGGGAACAAAGATGTATCACATACCGTCCTCATTAAACGTGGCCATCGTCAGCTTGTCAAACTTGTTTGCTAAGCAAGAATTTGGAACTTCCTTTCGCGATACAGTTGACAAGGGAATCAACACATCTGACAATAAAATGAGAAGATCAATGAAATAATTATATGATTAAAACTTGATAAAAAAGTACCATCCACATCCGTGGCACCGTCGAAAACGCCATCAACATCGTCACCATACACGGCAGCTCGACAACGTATGTCTTCCACATGCGCCGAAATTAATGCATCCATCATGACTGCTTGTTTGGAAAATATTTGCACAATCTTGCTAACGGGCATTCCAGCTTCCATCACGGGAAATTGTATGAATAAGCATGGAAGGCAATCAGGATCTGTGTCTTTCAAGGGTTTAGCAAAATCCCACGAAAGTTCGGAGTACTTCAACCCGAGAAGAACCACCTGCGTAGAAAATTGAGTAAATCTAAATGTGAATGAACGAAAAAAAATTCGTACAACACTCACGCATTTTTCGGGGTCAATAATATAGAAGCCTTCTGCATTGATAGCAATCAATACATCAGCATCTCGTCTTGTGAAAAGATACCTGAACATACTGGCAATACCAAATCCCATTCCACCACTATTCTTATTTGGCTTTTCTATTTGGCCTTTGAAGAATGCTGCACCATAATATGGTAACGACCACGAGAACTCCAAATATTTGCGGACAAGCTTGCGTCTTGAAGTTGACAGGGGAATTCTTCGGTATTGATCAAGGATTCTTAATTCCGGGGACGACTTAGTTTTGATTACACCTGAAGCCCATGAACACCTGCTCACATGGTCAGGCAAGAAATCCGGCAACCTAGACCTACAAGAAAAACAGGATTCAAGCAATTCTTTGCGATAGAAAAAAATTAAGCACCTGAAAAATTCAGGAGTGTGGATCTGCGGGTCATACACCCCCAACTCGAGGCGAGCTTGTAATCCAGCCAACATTTCGTAATCCGAAACTTCGCAAGGATAGCGACCATCAAGAATGTTTTGTTTAGCCTCCTCGTACAAGAGTTCCAAAATCTTCTGATCTCGGATTTTAACTTCTTCCCTTTTTGGGAAAAAGCAATTTCTTTTCAATGTAACTCGAGGATCATCAATGAGGGCAGTTTCTTGCGAAATGGAGCAAAATCTGCGAATGAGCTCTGGCCACTTTCGCCGGACAAGAAGAGGATGGTGGTAGGGCTTCATCTGTACTTCTGCAAGTAGAAATTCAATCATATGAGAATATTCATAAAATCTGAACAGCACTAAAAGAGATTAAATTAACTACATTTACCAAGGTAATGTGAGCACATCCATAACGTGAATGCTTGCTTTGCTTGATCAGAGAGCCCAAGGGTCTCTTCGTCGACTAAGATGTTCATCATTTCATCCACAGTTAGAGATGTACTGTCGTCGACGTCAAGATCGATCGCAACTCCGGACATGGCAAATACCATTACATCGGCCCCTGCGAAAAATTCTTTGGAATGAAAGGATAACTTGGGGATTTACACGGCACTCACGACGAGCGCTGACACCTTCATCTGAAGTACCACGCGAACAATAGTTCTGACCAGTGAGCGATTCGTCGTGGAAAGACGGAGGAGCGCGAGCGTTCGTGAAAACGTTGGCAGTGTTTGTAGTGGAATCATGCTGATGATGATGATGCATATGGTGGTGGTGATGATGCTGCTGGTGATCTTTGTTCAATTGATCCAGCGATTGGCGTAGTTCCTCTCGAACCTTTTCCCGCAAATAATCCCTAAAAGAGTGATAGTTGGGCGACTTATGATAAATGTTCAGGCACGCATCGCCAGTCCGCAGTTTCTCACCTAGCAACATGCCCGGGAGGGAAATCGTGATGATATGATCGAGGTGGATATTCCACAGGAATGACGGTGATGTAACTTTGACCATTATCGCTTTGATCCACTGAATTCAGTTGAAGATTGTCACTACCAGCATCCCGAGAACTACTGATCATCGACGAATCGGCGCTCATCTCACACACTCACTCTTCAATCAAACGAACTTTAGATCATCAGCAAAAGAACCACTCTGAAGTAGGTTTTCGAATCGGAGAGTAATGTTGTTCAGACTTGATTATCGTTGAACTACAAGATTCCTCCTTCGTCTCGCTTGAAAAGAAAAACATGCTATGCCTGGCGAATCCTGATGCTGCCATGCACCAAAAACACGTTTTCCTCATCGAAAATTAAATGGGATCTGTAAATCCTCACGGCATGAGAAGGAAACCACCATCAAACTCGCATTCGACATTGTTCGGTACCAGATACGGTGCCCTGACGTTCCAGCAAAATTATCCAACTCGCCGCCGCTCACTTCCACGCTTATTTTCCAGGGGCTGTTCACTGCCACTCCCTCCCAAGGCCAATAATGAGTGACTTAATGCATAGCGCATGTTGTTGAGTATGATTTTCAAGTTGAACTTTTTGTAGGAAGGCAACATACTATGTTAAATTGAAGCGTAAAAACATAAAGTTTGCTATTTTCTTTTTTACATGAAACTTGCCATCCATTTTGGCATAAAAGACGTGGAATTCTTCCTGGAATCTATACCCGTAAATCATTTCAGTTGAAGGCACTCACTAAAAGGAGCTGATGGCTCTGAGAAAAACTAGCGCTAGCAAGCGTGACGTGAAAAAGGTAACCCTGAGTTAAATGGCCCTTAACAAAAGTTGGTGCTTGAAGGGGGCATCACGACCAGGCACACGTTGCTTTGATTGCTCACTTGGCAGGTGAGACGCCATATCAACTTTTTAAAGGTTCTTTGGCAGTGCGCAGCTTTTGGGTAGAGTCCACCTAGACAATCCCTCAAACAACTTGTATTGCCTGAAATCTTAGTACAGTACTTACAAGCGTTTAATCCGCATTCGAAGTGTGAAAATTTCGATTGTCATATTCCTGGAGATTTAAAGTTATGTCGAGTCATTAATATTCAAATTCCGCTGCTAATTTTGCTGAAAAGCTGTCAACGACGTTTGGATTCTAGAACAAAAACCCAATTATGCGCATCTGCGTCTCGATGACGATAATTACGGTTAAAAATCTATGTATATTGCCAGAAATTAAGATGCTCCAAAACAATAAAATATTTGTAATTTAAGGCAGAGTGGACACATTTTGCAAGTTAAATATTCGTTAAGTGTTGTGGCCAGAATGAAAAGGGTGAGAGGAAAGCTGTTGGTTGGTGCTGATGTAAAAAAGTAACAAGACGCACCACTGGTCTGCAGACTGGTTTTGCAGCAGGACGCCCTGCTTTCAAATGTCTGGGTCATGAGCCAGGCAAATTACCTCCATTCCATCAAAGAGATCCGCTGACCCATGTAGGCCATGCTAGTAAGATCAACTAAGGTTCCAGCACTTCCAGGGTCCCAGAAAAGAAAATCAACGCAGGAACTCAATTACATTTGGATTATGCTGATTATTACAATGAAGAAAAAAAATTTCATGATGCCCCATACAAAATAGTTTACATTTTAAACTCACGGCACAGTATTGAAAATTGTAATTGTACCGTGGGCAACTCATATTCTCTTATTTTTTATAATCATTCTGTGTCTAAACTTGATGCAATTATCTATAGACAGGTTAGGAATTACTTTTTTTTATTTTTATATCAAAATTTGTCAAATATTTGACATAGAATCTTGATCTCCAATTGTGGCTCACAGCTGGCACCATCTCCTACTGCAGCATTGCAAAGAGCTGACAAAATATATAAAACAATTATTTTATTCTCGTTCTTTAAAAAAAAATTAAACATTTACGATAAATTACGAGTAATAACATTTGTGATGATGAAAAGTTCCCCAGTAATTGACTGTATGCAGTACTGAGAAAAGTTTAGTAGTCACTGACTGAGGTCGATTTACAGTACTGCAGTACTCGTCACACTTCATTATTTTTACTTATTACGGTGAAACGTGTTAGTGACTGACTGAGAATATCTACACTACTGCAGACAGTAGGTCACTGGGGAGCTATCTAAACTTTGTGATTTAGTCATCCTGATTTGTTGAAGAACCATGTTTGTTTCTGATTTTTGTAGATCAGATCATACCTGAAAGTCATCATCTGTGTTGAAAAAATGTAAAGCATAAGTCATCGAAGATATTAATGGATTGTGATCACTATTCCCATAGTAAAATAAAATAAGACAAAGGGCGTCCAGGTGTTCGTCCGACGCATTTGAACTTTGCGTACGATAGTCCGGCCAACTTCTCTGGACGGAATGACGACTATAAGCTGAACATTTTCCATAATGAAATATAATAGCCCGAAACTTGACCGGAATTTCTAAAATTCTGAAAGGTAAAAACTGAAGAAACAGAAAGGACGAAGGAAAGATCAATTTTTTGATGGATCGTTTTGCCATATTGTCGCAGCACACACTCATTAACGTAGACTGAGAACCATGCTTCATGAATGCATACTCGAGTTGAACATTGATTTTATAGACTGTTTCGGGTTTTAATTTCGAATCGGCCGATACTCTAAAAAAGCAGTTATAAACTTAAATTTCTTGCGCACAATAAAAAATAATCGCTCCTTTCAAATACAAAAGCAAATGCATAAAATAAAGTAAAAATAACCTGGATTTGAATGCACGCACCCTGATTTCTTGAAAACTCCCGAACCATGAAAATAAATCAGAGCTACCCAAATCTTTCAGTGCACTGCAGCTACAGCATTATTTCTCCAAGTGCTCCTATTTACAGGTCCCAACACTTCCACTTTATACGCCCATCAGTCGCTAACCCCACGCACTAACCCTAGCATTTAACATCAAACTGTTTTTTTTTTCTTTCCTGGTTACAATTACAAGTGGCATGCTCGCCACTCAAAATTTCATGCTCACAAAACGAGCTTGCCCCTCTCCTTTCGTCTCCCGATTCCCAGAGGCAATGTACAGTATAGGTATATATGCAGGGACGAACTGCTGGCTGAAATGGTCTCTCGTTATCCTGGTCATTAAAGCGGACATTTCGCGTGCATCGCTTTACTACGAGCGGAATAAAAGAAAAACAATTGTACTAAATATAATTTAAAAAAAAGCCCAGCACAACTGAGCCCGATAAAGGGACTCGCATGTAATCCAGCCGAAATTTCCGGCACGCACCTCATTCAGGTCTGAAGCAAAATAATGAATCCTCCCGATTGCTTCCCTCGTCTGATGCCCTTCAGCATTTTCTTTCAATAAATAACTCGGGGGGAGAAAATAAATAAATCCGCGTCCGCTCGTAGGACCGAAACTGGATAAATAAAGCACCGGGGCGCATCCATCAGCAGCGATTCATGGCTGCGTTGACAGCGGTTAACAAGGAAAGGTATTGTTGGCGTGGCACAGGAATATACGATTCCCGAATGGCTCCCATCCACCATGACCCGGGATTTGAGGGGTCCTCATTTTCAACACCGACATCCGTCTAGCCTCCTGCTCACGTCACAACACGTACCGGAAGCAGTGTCCCAGGGTATTACTGTATATTTCTCATCCACTGCTGCATACACTGGACTGGAATACCTACAGTACTGCACTTTTCAACTGCACTTAAAATCCTTGGCTATGTCAGGGCTGCTGACGGAAATTTCATGTAGGATACCGCACATACCGATGAAGTTAAAGCAGGGTAATGTATTTAATCGAAAATATGACGCCCTTTTTTTCTCGCACAAAAGTCTTCAGCTTAAAAAAAAAACCCCCAGGGTGTCTCATTGTAAGTACGTGCTGTAATATTCGCGAAGATCAGACGCCTTTTTATACATAATTTGTTCTTTTCGCAGAAATCGGCTCTATATAGAACTTTGGGATTCAACAGAAGGTACGTCTTACATTTTAAAATTGTACGCACTTTTTTTTCTTCGCTAAAATCGGCTATAAAAAATCAAGGTGCGCCTCATACTAACTGGCGTTTTTGGACAACGTTCACGTCCAGGTTCACTGAAAATATGTTATAAAAATATCGCATGTGCTATTGGAACCATGCGTGTCTGATGTATGATTCGCAAAATATAAAATGTTCCATTGATTCAAAATACTTGATTGCAATTAAAATGAATGTCATGAAATTCTGAACACATATACAAATATGGCAGATAAACTTTTCTCTTGAATTGTGTGCAGTGATGAGGAAGGAACTGGACTGCGAGACTAACAAAGCTTATGAAACCAATGCATATTTTTGGTGCTAGGAATTAATTACAATATATTTTATTAGCTGATTGAGTGATGCAGGTACACGCATTTTTTCTTTACCTTTTCGATTAGATCAATTGAATTTTCACGGTTGCTTCATACTGTATATGCATCAAGGCAATGCAGTGCTATAATAATAGGGATTCCTTAATTTGTTTTGAAAATACCAGGTGATACCGGATTAAAATATAACTTAAACATATAGCCCAACTTTTGAGGCATGCAAAATACACACCATTGAAGAAATAAAAATCCGATATCATGCCTAAGGGAAGCTCACATAACCTTTGCAAAAGAGAGATGATTATCACAAGCAAGAGGCTCAGATATTGAAAAATAAAGAGGCTTTCAGCATATTTTCTGCCGCCAAAAACATCGATCACATTTCTCTCTCTCTACGTCGCCCTGTAAAAATCTCGGGAATTGAAAAGTAAACACAACCAACATCTTTTTGTCTCCAGAAAAAAGAAGAAAGAAATTCCCATGTCTTCGTTTGCGACACATTCCTCGTGATTCCAAATTGTAACCCCCTAGCAAAAGAAAGGGGGGTGAACTGAATGACACCTTCCGGAAGAAGCGAACCATTTTTCTGTTTCAGGTTCAGGAAGACCACATTGAAAAATGCAGATAAAAGCTCAGCACGGTTCTTCGTTTCTTCTCAGATCGTGAATGAAACTCGGAGTTTCCCCATACCGCGTTTCGTACCTGCCGGGACAGAAGAAAAGAAAGAATCCTTGTCTCGTGCTCGAATGGAAAAGCAGTGGGAGAGGATTTGAAAATGTTTACAAAGATTCCCATTCGTCAATGAACTGTCACAACAATTTCGGGGCAAAAATGTCT